GCGAGTTGCCTTATCACCAAAATTATATCTTTTTGTATATAAATAAATAAAACCCTACGATTCGCCACTTAACAGAATGGCTCTCCAGCAAGTTACCCAAATGGAACGTACAAGAATTGCACGGATAGAATTCATTCCTCGAGCAACCAATAATAATGAAAATAATGAGTTAAGAGTTGCACCAAACGCAAAAATTATAAGACAGAATAAGTATTAATTTTTCTCTTTTTTTTTTTTTTGTAAACATACTTTTAAGATCTGTTAACTGTTAACATTTTCCCACTGCATGTATTTATTTTATAAAAAAGTAAAAAAAAAAAAAGTCGCTAAATATTCAACTTTCCTTTCTTTTATACTGAACAAACAATTCTATAAGATAAAACCATTTTATATAAGTTACATTCTCAATAATTTAATAATGTATATATTTAAAAAATTTAAGTTCATAATTGAATCATTATTGGTTGTATTTTAAAATGTTTGATGTATAAAAAAAGTTTACAATTGTTTTCATGAAAGTAATTTGGCGAAAGTTTTGAACTAAATGTTCTCACGAAAGTGATTTGGTGAAAAGTTTGAATTTAATGTTCTCACGAAAATGATTTGGCGAAAAGTTTGAATTAAATGTTTTCGCGAAAGTAACTTGGGGAAAGTTTTAAAATTTAAGAAAATACTTTAGCGATTAAAATTTTGGCCGTTTTTTTTTATGTGGCGTAATTGTTTTACCCAATCAGAGGCTACCTATTGTGTCCAATCAGAAAGTGGTGGGGGAAATTAGGGCTCTCGTAAGGATCCAACCTCAAGAAGTAATTGACAGATTCCCCACGAGCCAAAGTGTAGGCGTAAGGATCCAACCTCAAAAAGTAATTGACGGATTCCCCACGAGCCAAAGTGTAGACGTAAGGATCCAACCTCAAGAAGTAATTGACGGATTTCCCACGAGCCAAAGTGTAGGCGTAAGGATCCAACCTCAAGAAGTAATTGACGGATTCCCCACGAGCCAAAGTGTAGG